CTGAGGCAGGTAGATCACTTTGAGCTCAGGAGTTCAAGACCAACATGGTGAAACCCCGAATCTACTAAAAATAGAAAAACTAGCCGGGCCTGCTTGTGGGCACGCCTGTAATCCCAGCTACTCAGGAGGCTGAGGCTGGAGAATCGCTTGAACATTGGAGGTGGGGGTTGCAGTGAGCTGAGATCGTACCTCTCTACACCCCAGCCTGAGTGACAGAGTGATACTCCATCTCAAAAAAAAAAAAAAAAAAAAAGATAGAAAGAAACCCAGCAAGGATTGGATTGGGACAGGTGCCTCTTGGGGATTTTAGGGTCTGGGCAGCTTCTGAGAGATAGGAGAGCTTCAGCCTCTGGTGTATCTGGGGTTACTTTGGAAAGGAATGTGTAAGACACAAGGTGAACATTTCGGAAGAAAAGCTTCACCCAATAAAAAGCCCAGGAGAGCAAATAGGGATTTCCATAACCACCTGGAAGAGAGGGGCAGGCAGGGCCCCACTGGGAGGAAGCAGCAGCCAGCCTTCCTTAAATGGCCTTGCCAGGCCCAAGACTTTCCACCTCCGCACCTCCAGAGACACAAAGGCAAGGCCAGAAGGGTGGCCCACTGGTCTCCTTTCACAGTAAGCTCAGATCAACCTTTGTCACACACATGAGTAATTGGGGAAGTGACTTTTAGGAGTTTGAGGGGTAGGGGGTGGGGATCTGATGATGTAAGGTGATCCCAAAGCTGGTTTCCGGGTTTGCTTTTTAAAAGTCTAATTGTATTAGGGGGCCTGCATACTGTTTTCTGAACCTTTCAGCACATCCTTCAGAAAGGAGGGGAAATGGCTGGGCTTGGTGGCTCACGCCTGTAATCCCAGCACTTTGGGAGGCCCAGGCCGGTGGATTACCTGAGGCCAGGAGTTTGCCCAGCCTGGGGAACAAGAGCAAAACTCCAGATTGTAGACCAGCCTAGTCAACATGGTGAAACCCTGTCTCTACTAAAAATACAAAAATTAGCCAGGCATGGAGGCGGATACCTGTAATCCCAGCTACTCGGGAGGCTGAGGCAGGAGAATCGCTGGAACCCAGGAGGAAGAGGTTGCAGTGAGCCGAGATCACATCACTGCACTCCAGTCTGGGCAAAAGAGCGAGACTCCGTCTCAAGAAAAAAAGGAGGGGAAATGGGTGTATTTAATGCTTGAGGTCAACCCCTCAAGCAGCCAAACCTCAACACTGAAATATAGGCCATGTGTTTCCAAGGCCAGACTGCAGAGCAAGCAAAGGAAGAAAACAATCACTGGCAAAGCCGGCCAGCTTTTCTTTCTTCCGCCCCTGAATTAACTTACAACTGTGGTAACTACGCTACTACTTTAGAAATCCCAAACTGTCTAATAGCCTGGGTTTCTCAAACCGGTGTGTGCTATGAAGAAGGAAAATAAGCAGCAACTCTAAAGAACTGGTTTATTGGCCAGGCATGGTGGCTCACACATGTAATCCCAGCACTTTGGGAGGCCAAGGCAGGCAGATCACCTGAGGTCAGGAGTTCGAGACCAGCCTGACCAATACAATGAAACTCTGTCTCTACTAAAAATACAAAGGCATGGTGGTATGTGCCTGTAATCCCAGCTGCTAAGGAGGCTGAGACAGGAGAATCGCTTGAACTCAGGAGGCAGAGGTTGCAGTGAGCTGAGATCGCACCTCTGCACTCCAGGCTGGGCAGCAAGAGCGAAACTCCATCTCAAAAAAAAAAAAAAAAAAAAACTGGTTTATTATGGTTCAGTTTTTTTTTTTTTTTTTTTTTTAACGGTCTTCATTCTAGAAGCTGGAGAGAAATCAATAGAATAAATACAAGGTTGAGATCATGGGGTCAGCCATGGCATGGGGCAGAGGAATGACCCTAGCAAACCACTCCAAAGTCCCCTGAGTTAAGACCCTACAGCTACCAGTGCACAAAAAGTGACAGGTTTCAAGTTTCAAAATTCCCATGGAGTAAATTCTTCACGAAGTCAATGTCTAAACCTGGTGCCTATGTTACATCCATCCCTTCACTTCCCTGCACTGTCCAAAGAGAGTCAGGCCACATCCCAAGTCTTATCTGGCTTTTAAAATCACAAGCCAGCTCCTGAGATCAAACGTGTGATGTTACCACAAGGGCACTTCCATCCTGGGGCGATTCCACATTGGACTGATACAAGGAGACCCACAGTCCAAAAAGGCCAAAACAAATATTAAATGTCAGGAAATCTGTTACGTGGGGGTGCAGGTCGGTGAACATAAAGGGAACTGAAACCAACCACACCAGAGGCCTGTGGATTCTGTGTGGAGGCTGCCTCTTCTCACTAAACCAGCAGCCCCAGGGTCCCCCCCACCTCCCCCGCGTCTGACCCGTCTCCATCATCATCACCCCCTCTCGGAGGTCCCACACTATCAACACCTCCATTCTCAGCTTACTTCACGCTGGACACTAATTCCCCAAACACCTTTTTTGTTTTTGTTTTTTCAGGTTATTGAGGTGAAAAACAAGGGGAAAAAGGAAGAGAAAAGACCAACTGTGGATCAGATTACAGAATTGCTTTATGCCTCAGTTTCCTTACTTACAAAGTAGGAAGAATAATACTGCCCACGCTCCTAATGTTCTAGTGAAGACTAAATGAGGTAAAATATGTGAAGCACTTGCCCCAGAGTCTGAGGCAAAAGTGAATATGTGTCACTATTAATTATTATATTAGTGTTAATATGTAATAACATTATTGGTCAGACACAGGAGCTTAGAAGGGAGAAATAAAAACCAGACCAACCCACCCTTGGTGCTACCAAGTATCTTGGTGCAGGAAAACAAAGTCACCAGCCTTAGCACTGGGCCACGCCAGACACACGCTCAGATACAGGCTCATTTCTAGCCCCTGCCTTGCTCTCCAAGGCTAGATCAAGCTTGCCTCCCCCGAGAAGACGCTCCTCAATGCCCACTGACATCAAAATATTCAATCCCCAGCACTCTGGGAAGCCAAGGTGGGTGAATCACTTGAGCCTAGGAGTTTTAGATAACTTCTGATCCAATAGAAAGCTCTAGAGCACACAGAGCAAATATACTTCATCAGTCGAGCTGTAGTTTCTCTGTAAAAAACTTCGAATGACTTCCAAGTTCAAAAAAAAATTTAAAGACAACAGCATGATTGCTAAAGATTCATGTGGTCAAAGACCAGAAGAATAGACACAATGGAGGTGTTCCCTCAGGGGAATTGTGGGTGATTTCCCCTTAAAAAAAAAATATAACTTTTATTGTGATATCCAATCAACTAAAATCATGAGAGAGGAGAAAGTGGTTTGATATAAAGTAAGCACTCGGGATTCAGTGAATCCAGAAGAGAAACTAGCCCCTTCCCTTGCTCCCTGGACAACAGTGGAGTAGAACAAAGCAAACTCTAGATTATCACAACGATAAGCCTAGAAGTACATTGGGTGTATGCATTTTCATCCTGAGTCAGAACTACCATGCTTTTTTAAAAAAAAAGATAATTATTCCTTGCCAGGCATGGTGGCTTATGCCTGTAATCCCAGCACTTTGGGAAATTGAGTCAGGTGGTCTCCTGAGGTCAGGAGTTCAAGACCAGCCTGGCCAACATGGTGAAACTCCTTCTCTACTAAAAATACAAAAAATTAGCTGGGCATGGTGGTGGGCACCTGTAATCCCAGCTACTCAGGAGGCTGAGGCAGGAGAATCACTTGAACCTGGGAGCCAGAGGTGGCAGTGAGCTGAGATCACACCATTACAACACTCCAGCCTAGGCAACAAGAGTAAAACTCCGTCTCAAAAAAAAAAAATCATTATTTCTTGGGGGAAACAGTACCTGTAATAAGATATTTTGGTTCAGGCACAGTGTCTCAGGCCTGCAATCCCAGCACTTTGGGAGGCTGAGACAGAAGGATCCT